AAAAACCAATCCCGAGGCTGGACAGAAGTGCTCACCTCAATCTAAGGGGTGGCTGGGAATGAACAGAAATGTCCACCCAATCTACCGCTTGGAATGAAGCTGGACATAGCAGATCACCTTCAACAACAAGGGTACTGCCTGCGGAGGGCGCCAAAAGCTCCGTCTTGAATAAAGGCAAAGAACCCGCTGCCCCTGCAGGAAAGCTCCTTCACTTGTGCACCTCTACTCGCAATAACTGCAATCTACATATTGTCAGAACAAATTTTAAAAGTAGTATGAATTCAGTATTTTTTAAAGGCTTCATTAAATTTAATGACCTACCAACTGACGTAAAAGACTGTTTATCAATAAATGTCTTCAAAAGACATTTGTTAAAATATATAAAAGAAACATAACTTACATTTGGATAAAGTTGTAAATCTATGTTTTATATGTTAGTTTTGATTGTGAAATATTTGAATTGTTTCGGTATAAATCTTCTAATGTTACCTATATAACTAGCATTAATAAGTAGAAATAATGAATATTATTTGTAAAATAATAGCACGGAGCGATAGAACTATTTATTGTTACTTGTAATAGTTTTAAATTTACTACTAGCATATATTAGTTACTTTTTCTGTTCTATCTTTTCCTATTTTTTTTTATTGTATATTAGGGAAACCTATTTCTGAAATAAAGAAAGATTATTATTATTATTAATCTACGCAGGGAACCCCGAGAAGGTTGAAGAAGCTACCCAATGACAGTAATATCACTGCACCTTCCAAAACCTTCACGGAGACCACCGTGAGATATCTCAAGGTTTCCAAAGAGAGTGTGTTCGGCGAGTCTTGGCCTGTACCCGCTTATATAAAGGAGATGTCTCCCAGTGACCTGTTCACCTTCCTGGAAAGGACAGCATGGACGATGACCTAAGAGGACAGCTCCTTGGAAGGATGTACAATGGGTCACATGTGGCCTAAGTGCTGTGATTCAACACTCACCCTCCCTACTGAACAGATACCAGAGAGATAATAACTTCCAGTCGTTTTTAAAATTTGGAAAGTATTCCATTTCTAAAATTTTATTTATTACTAGCTATCCAATCCAGCTTTGCAAGGATATATATAGTTGCATATATGGCTAGTGTCATATCGTCTAGTTTAAAAAGAAGGTTCCTGCTTTTACATGTAGACCGCGCTCTAGAAAGTGATAGAACAGTCTAGAACATTCTCGAGTACTCAAAAGCATTTCACAACATTCTAGAACACCATGGAACATTCTGGAATGCTGTGAAATGTTCGAGAATAATCTGAAACATTCGGAAAAATCCCGAAACATCCGCGATCATTGTGGAACGATGAAAGGAGTTGTGGTGGAACTTTAAAAAAATTATCAATAGTCTTATTTTGCCGCAAAAATGGTCCTGCAGCAACGATATTCTTATTACGGACTGGTGTACAAACATTCTGTTGACTAATTATTTCCAAAAGAATATTACTATTGTAATTCACGAATGGTTCACTACAATTACTCAAATGATGTATGTCTCTATTCAAACTTCCATTTCTTTTTTGCTGGAGTTGGTTCCCGTGTTGGAGATGATTGTTTATCAAAGAAAAACGTGTCATACCTGAATTTTTTGTGGGTACTGGTGTTTATTGACCATCTACATTACCAGCTGCGTATTTAATCTTTGGAATGATTCCCATCGCTGTACTTTCTTTCTCTGGGTTACTACTGTCAAGACTGTCCGTGGTTGTGTTATTTACTGGCATTGAATGCAGTCTATTTCTCAAAGGGTAGTTCCCAACTACATTCTTCATCGTTTCTCAAGATCTCTCTGCCCCACGTTGGGCGCCAAGTTGTAGTGGAACTTCAAAAAGGTTTTTTTAAGTTCAACTGGGTTTCGGAAAAATGTGTCAATTCGACAGAGAGGATTAAATGATGCAATTCTGGCGTATGCAGTTTATTCGGTGATGATTGGGGATTGAACAGAGCTGAAACCGTGAAATATTTTAGATGGAGGATGTAACAATACTTAAAGATTATAAGCACTCCTCATTGAAGCTAACACATAGTCAATTCGATACAACTCACCTCACTCACACATCAATATTTGTTTTGAATATCTTTGTTGGACAACCTATGGCTTTCAACACTTTTGCATCAAAAGTAATTCTTCAATCTGAACTACGCGTTTTCAGGTTCGCTGTATTTCTTTTCATCCAGTTCAAAATCTTTAACGTTATGTTCTTGCATTTTAACACTCCTATGGTCATTTCTAGGCGAGAGACGTAACCGATTCAATTTCAGTTAGGATTCTGCTGAATGAAAGGTGCAGTGTCTATTATTCCGTTACAAAGTAGAGAAGTAGCTCTCAATCCCCCATCCGTGAAAAAAGTTTCCTTTTTTATCTTAAGGCCGTGATTTTCAAAATATATGGGCTGAAAATTTCGATTTCTTGAACGCACATTCTACTGATGATGTCTTTTGTAGTCACAGATGAAACGTTCGATGTTTTGATCGGCTTCCGGGTTTTGCCGTGGTTTTCTTTCTTTATAATCTCCAAAAGTTTCAACTGCAACGGCGGCAGTCATCTTCACTGGCATGGTCGAAGTAGTCTTCTTGACGTATCTAGTGCTGATTTACCGCGCACTTTCAGTAATGGCGGGTTCGCGCATACTTTCCGCGCGATTTGGATGACGTGGCCCCATTTTGGCGATTTTTATTGCTTTGTGCTAGATTTTTGATAGGTACGTTATCTCTTCCTCTCTGTTGAAGCTCTTTCGGTGTTTGTGTATTTCTATAGCTTCTTAATTCATTCTTGTTGAACAATGATTTGACGTTGCTAACCTCTCGGTATTCTCAAACAGGATCTTGTGTTCCCCGTCGGACAGTGCATGTTCAGCGACTGCCGGTCTGTCTTCTCGGTCTGTCCCAATCGGCAACTCGGCTTGTGCTCAACTAACTGGGTACGAATGCTTCTTTTCGTCTGACATACATAGACTTTACCTCAATTACATGCAATCATGTAATATTTCACTGATTTCAGTGGTTCTCTGCTGTCTTTTACTGATCTCAGATACTCCGATATTTTCTTCGTTGATTTGAAGACGGTGTTGATGTTCTCTTTCTACAGAATTTTCCCAATTCAGTTGGTGACACCTTCTCTGTATGGCAGATAGACAGTGCCTTGGGATTGATCTTCACTGGAATTTCTCTTCTTCTCCCTTGGACGCGTAGCACGGATTATGTCTTCTCTGTCTTAGCCATTCGCTTGTAACACAGTTGTTAGGTGTTTTATTTCGTCCTCGACGTACCTTTCTTCACATAGTCTCAAAGCTCCGTTTACTAGGGTGTTGATGATGGTTCGTTTCTGTTTTGCATGATGATTGGATCCATTATGTAGGTATCGATCTGTGTGTGTTTTCATACTGTAAACTTCATGGGGTAGTTGGTCACCTTCCTTGATAACTGAACCATCTCTTCTCCTCCCTTGGTCGCGTAGCACGGATTACATATTTTCTGTGTTAGCCGTTCGCTGGTAACACAGTTGTTAGGTGTTTCATCTCGTCGTCGACGTACCTTTCTTCACATATTCTCAAAGCTCTGTTCACTAGGGTGTTGATGATGGTTTGTTCCTGTTTTGCATGATGGTTGGATCCTTTATGTAGGTATCGATCTGTGTGTGTTTTCATACTGTACACTTTATGGCCTAGTTGGTCACCTTCTTTGATGACGAAAATATCTCTTCTCCTCCCTTGGACCTGTAGCACGGATTATGTCTTTTCTGTCTTAGCCGTTCGCTTGTAACACAGTTGTTAGGTGTTTTATTTCGTCCTCGGCGTACCTTTCTGTACATACTCTCAAAGCTCCGTTCGCTAGAGTGTTGATGATGGTTCGTTCCTGTTTTGCATGATGGTTGGATCCATTATGTAGGTATCGATCTGTGTGTGTTTTCATACTGTACACTTTATGGCCTAGTTGGTCACTTTCCTTGATGACTAAAACATCAAGGAATGGGATTTGGAGGTTTTCTCTTCTAAGTCCATGGTGAACTGGATGATAAGTTCTGAAGTTCTTTTTTTCCATAGCTCCAAACAATGAAAGTGTTATCTACCTCAACCAATGCTTCGGTGAAAGCCTAATTCCCGAAACGTTTGGTATTTCAGGTTCCATTCAACCACGGCACACCAGCCTGGATTTTGTTTTCTTCAATCTTTACTTTTTACACGAAACACATATCTGAAATTCTTTCCAGACTAAACTTATAACAAGTAATGGATACCCTGTGGAAACTCATGAAGTAGAAACTGAAGATGGTTACTTCTTGACAGTCCACCGAATTCCTAGAGGCAAAAATCAGCTTAACGGATCAACCGGAACTCCAGTTTTATTCAGTCATGGAATGGGAGGATCTGCTGAAAATTTCATCTGGATGGGGCCTGAGAAATCATTGGGATATAAGTTGGCAGACTGTGGTTTCGACGTATGGTTGCTGAATGCACGGGGATCTTGGCATTCCCTGAAGCACAAAACATTAGACCCTGATAGAGATACAGACTTTTGGAAATTTTCGTAAGTATTGTGAATATCTTGCTCAATATATAATTTGCGAATGTTTTCGAATCTGAACTGACGGTATATCCTATTATCTCGTTCGCTATTTTATAACGAATGGTCCTGCTAAAGTAACGCGAAAGTTGATGCCACCAGATATTCCAATACACTACAGAATGGGTGTATTGTTAGGAATCACACGTTAAAAGGTAAGACCTCGTTAGTCCTTAGCTCGCACAAGTTTCTCAACTTCTGAGAGTTGTCGTTCGTATGGGGGCGGCAGCTGATTAACGGAAAAACAGATTTTAAACAGATTTTTTTGAAATTTCCTGATTTTTTTCATAAACAAATGCTATAAATGAAATGAATAATCGGGAAAGACTTTGAATTTTGGGCGATATTTGAAGTTTGAAGTTTAAACATAAAAAATCAGGTGATAATGATGGAGTGTAGGAAAACAAAATTTCAAAATTCGGTATACAGGGCTATTCAAATTCGTTTCTGTACATGGGGATCTCGTTAGCGATAAGAAATAGAGTGTCGGTTGAATTGTGGCAAAGTTGCGTATTTCAGAGACCTATTCAATATTGTGAAGAAATCGAATATAGCTCTTTCGGTTCTGGAGATATACAGGAAAAACCAAAAAAATCTAAAAATTATTTTTTTGCCTATATCTTCTTTATTCGCAGACATATTGAAAATCTGTCTACATTTTTCTATTGGCACTTGTGTGGGCTCTCAGAATATATCCATGAATCTTTTATACAGAATGTCATCTGACTTGGGCCCTCATCTTTGAATTTTTAAATAAGGACCTGTATTTTTTGTTGTAGTTTTTGGATCGTAGACGTTCACTTCATACAGAGAAATTAAATTAAATTTTATATTTCCGTATTTTTGGTAATATTCGATTATAATTGTGTGAATTACTCCCTTTTAAATTACGGCCCTGGAAATTGGTTGACTGAGTGGAATAAAAACATAATAGCAACTTTCACGTCTCCCTATATATCATAGAGTTTTTCGAGAGTTTTTTTTCATTTTTAGGTACCTATTCATATTTTTCCATTGCCCTGAGCGTTTTCTACAATAAACTTAGAATAAGAAAACCTTTTATGACTATTTGAAACATATCCACATCAAAAATATATTATATGTCATTCAATAAGCAGAAAAACAAATGATAGCAATAATAACATTGGAAACGAACACTATAATTATAATGAATCAATTAAATGATTATAATCGAATATTACCAAAACGTCTCGAAATATAAAATTGAATTCAATTTCTCGGTATGAAGTGAACGTCTACGATCCAAAACTACAACAAAAAATACAGGTCCGTATGTGAAAATTTAAAGATAGGGTGGCCCAATTCAGATGACACCCTGTATAAAAGATTCATGAATATATTTTGAGAGCCCACATCAAGTGCCAATCACCAAGCAAAATGTGGTCAGATTTTCAATATGTCTGAGAATAAAGAACATATAGGCAAAAAAATAATTTGGGATTTTTTGGTTTTTCCTGTATATCTCCAGAACCAAAGGAGCTTTATTCGATTTCTTTACATCATTGAATAGGTCTCTAAAATACGCAACTTTGCCACACTTTAACCGACACTCTATCTCCCATGTACAGAAACGAATTTGAATAGCCCTGTATAAATATAAATACTTATGAATTTTTTAAATATTTTTGCCAAGGTGAATTGTTGATAACAAATTTTTCCAACAGGAATCCATTCTGGAACCTTTCAAAAATAGCTGCAAAAAGAGAAAAAATCTCAGATGTGTTTTTTAACAATTATCTTAATGTTACTGTTCAAGTAGAAAGAAATGATTTATCAATTAGAGCATAATCAACTGAAAAATCACGATAACATCTTTTGTACCCTGGATTATTTTTCCTTCATTCATCCAATAGATGCCTGAATTTTTTCAATTCTCAATTTTGATATTCATAAAGTTGAAATAATATTTTCTCTGGGAAAATTATAAATATTGGGTAATTTGAGGAAAATTCTTCATATATGATAGATATATATGATAGATATGTCCGTAACCGCTTGATTTATGAGAAACAGGATGATGAAATTCAATTAGAAAAATAATGTATCCTCTAAGCGCTTTGGCACTTTCAGAAATATTTGTGAAGACATGAGGAGATATTTGGGAAGATATTTGGTACATGCAAAGTAGTATGAAAATACATTTCCATGGTTTTTTTGATGTTCATCAGTGGCGTCCCTGTTAACATACCTGTCATATTTTTCATCAAAATCATGTAATGGCCCTTCATCTTCTAATAAAGAAATGGTTTCCTGCCTTTTCTCATCCGGGGCACGGTTTTTGAAGTAGAACAGAAAATGCATTTGATTTTTCCACTTATTCTCAATTTTGGTAACCGAAGAATCTATTTGAGGCAAGATTTTTATACGATTACATTTATAATTTTTGTACTATTTATAAATTATTCAGAGCTTCAGCTCTCCTTCGCATCAACTGGCGTACTCTTTGAGAAATTCCTGGAGTATTACTTATTGTTTCACATAAAACTATTAAGCGGTTTCGCAATTCTTTCTCAGTTTCAATTGGTTGACTGTACACCAAAGAAGATAATCAAGACTGTTTAGGTCTGGTGACCTATCTAGCCATAACTCTGTTCCCCAGCACGACCTATCCAGCGATTATGAAAGATTTGGTTTGATATTCACGTGTTAGAGCAATGAAAGGATCAGGTACCTCCTGGTGCAAAAATCACATGCGATTTCACATTAAAATAGGAACATCTTCTGAGAGAATTGGCAAGAAATTAGGTAATCTCCAATAATTCCAGCCTTGACATTTAATGAGAACTGCTCCTGGTGATAAGAGTCCACGATTGTATGCTTATTTTCCTCGAAACAAAAATGATTATTATAAAAATTTCCATCCTGTTTTTAGTAAAACTAGCTTGGTAGGCAAATTAAATTTCCCTGTCAAATAAAGGTTTTTCGGTGGAGTCAGTCAATGTACTTCTATGAACTATTGAACGTGAACTTCGATCACTTAAAAGCAAAATTATCTTAGGATATACTTTTATTATCAGCTAGAGTTGCTTTGAATTTTAATTATATACGAAATAATAATATGCAATCTCTATAGTTACTACCACGTAAGCTAAGTATGTAAATTAAAATAAATATTAACATTATTATAATGAAGATATATACAGGGTGATTCAAAAATACTTTGACAAACTTCAGGAGGTGATTCCTCACAATATTCTAATATGAATTGTCTAAATAAATAAATGTCCGGAAATGCTTCGTTTCCAAGATACATGATGTTGAAGTTTTATTTTCTTTTTTTTTTCAAATAACTATTGAAATACTGAACTTAATTAAACGAAACTTGGTAATAGGAGGTTTTTGAGGTGTCGAATTCGAACCTGATGTTCTTATTGCTCTTACTCGTAGGAGGCGTGTACGTTCCTTTATGATATCCTTAAGCGAAATAGTTATTTTTGTATCAAGGGTGCATAATCAGTATTTGTTTTAATAAAATTTGCAAGAAATGTCAACATTTTATTTCAGGAAATTTTGAATATGTAAAATAAACTAAAATAAACGAAACTAAATTGTATTCAAATGAATTGTTGGAAGTGTCCACCTTCAGCGAAGATACAGGCAGTCAGTTGTCTAGTCATTGAATCTCGCTCGCTCAAAAATTAATGGTGTGTTTCTTATTGTTTCACAGGCGTCTACTATTCGGTTTCTTAGATCTTCCTCGTTCACTACTGGAGTCTTATAAACTAGTGACTTCAAATGTCCCCAAAAATAAAAATCTATTGGGTTTAGATCTGGGGACCTTGGTGCCCACGCCTGGTTAGGTTCTTCTACACCCTACCGATCCATCGATTTGGATAGACTGTGTTGAAGAATTCCCTGGCTACAACGCTAAAATGGGCCGGAGCCCCATCATGCATAAACCACATGCGGATACGAATTTCTAATGGTACATTCTGAAGTAGTCCCGGCAATTCATTTTCTAAAAAGTGTCTGTAAGTTGCGCCATTCAGTCGGAGCGGAAGAGAGAAAGGACCTATCAAGTAATTATCAATTATTGCCGCCCATACATTTACAGAAAATTGATACTGTTAATGCTTTTCACTAACTGCGTGCGGATTTTCGAGAGCCCAAACATAGTTGTTATGAAAGTTTGTGATAGCATTTCGGGAGAAGTTTGCCTCGTCCGTGAAGAGTATCTATCTTAAATATTGAGGATTTCCAGCCAATTTTCTCAAAAACCATTGACACATAGTAATGCGTTGGGGAAAGTCTCGTGGCAAAAGAGCTTGTACCCTTTCAATATGGTATGGATAAAACTGTTAATCATGGATAATTCTCCAAACTGTGGACTGAGTAGAATTGACAGCTTCAGCGATTACTCTTGTGCTTGTTTCTGGATTCTCCTCGAGAGTTCAAAACAGCTTCTTCCAATTCTGGGGTTCGGACTGCTCGTTGTCTTAAAAGAATATCAGCTGCCCTCTTAAAGGTACCTGTTTCTGCCAAACGACGGTGGAGACTAGCAAATGTTGGAGCTGAAGGCAGTACTCGATTAGGAAATCGCTCCTGGTAAATACGTCTTGCTTCGCGCGCATTGCCATCCGCAAGGCCATAAACGAAATGCATATCGGCTAAATGAGCATTATTGTTTAGATAATCCATTTTTAAATGTATTCTACTTCTACTTACGGAAACTTCAACAAAACGTCTAACTGTCACAGAATATGTAATTACCAAAACTACTCACAAACGTCAAATTTATTTCCAAAGCATTCTTGTGAAAAATGCAAAATATTCGTAATAACTTCAACATGCATCGATTATCAAATAATCGACTTGAAGTTTTCAAGTCCAAATATTTAGAAAACGGTTGCTTACAGCGACTAGCAACAAGGGTAGCTTATTTACGTAGATATGATAGAGGAATCGATTTTTTTACTGAAAAATGTGCTAGAAGTACGCCCAAA